AAATAACACTTACCCGTCAATACGTTCATGGATAACACCACGAACAGCGTCGTACCATTGTTTTTCGTTAGAATATTTACCTAATATGAATAAATAATATAACTGTCAAAAAAAAAAAAAAAAAAAAGAGTTATAATTGAATTCATATTATGGTAAGCATACCTAAGCTGACGGGATGTGGATATAAACCATCTAATTGCCAAACTTCACCATCAATGGGAACATAAGCAATATAATGATAAACTTCACCACCGCCTTCATCTTCAGAACCACCTTTCTTGCTTGGCTCTTCAACTATCAGTGAATCTTCTGGATGTCTGTAAATATATATATATATATATATATGTAAATAAATAAACAAAGGCACAGTAACTCATTCAATTTTGTCGAATTGTTGCATGTTTTATCACTAACCGGGCCATTGAATTATGAATTTGACGTAAAGTCGGATGATTAGTTATGGAAAAACCTCTAGTCTAAATTTATGAAATAAACATATTGAGAGAGAATTTAATGTCTAATCTCAATTTAAAAATAATAAAAGATATATACATTTATATAGTTTTTAACAAATGAAATATACAGCTGGTGGAAGATCCCAAGTGAATTCCTTAAATTCTTTTAATTCTTGATCTATTTCTATTTGTGGGCAATTCAATATGATATTCAACACAGCAAGAGTAGCGCAAGCATTTTCTACCACCTAAAATTAAAAGGAATTTTGGTAATATAATAAAATTAATAGAAACGATTGTTAAAAAAAATTAAAAATAAAATTTAAAAATAAAAAAAAATTGAATTGAAAATACCACCTGATTGGCAAAATAGACGTTTGGGGGGTATTCTTCAACAGGTTCATAATCGGTACCTTTATGTAAACCTTTTACATCTCCTGTTACTTCACCTATCATCTTAAAAAGAAAAACCAAACCATATATTTCTCTAAAAAAAAAAAAAAAAAAAGAACCCATATAAAACAATGATCAAAAAAGTCGATTATATGTATATTTTTATTAAAATTAAAATTACCCAAGGTCATCAAAATTATCTTGTTGGTCAAGAACAAATACTTCAGTTGCTTTAGCACCTCTAACACCCAAATCATACATCAAAGCGGTAAAAAGAGCTTTAAAAGACGAATAAAAACATTATCTTAGAAACAGTTTAAAAAAATAAATAATAAAAAAATATGCTTAGCAATTAAAAAATGAAAAAATTACATGGTTCAGACTGTAATTTAACCCATGGACCTTCACAACGTTCTTTATGACTAAGTATAAGCGAAGACATGATGATAATTTAATAATATCGGTTGTTTCTTTCCGATTCAATTTAACAAATTACGTAACAATGGAGTAAATGCTCCAATTATTAACGGATTTAGACGCGTTTTCAATGAGAACAAATAAGAGGTTAGATTGAGCAAATCACACCAAATATTCACAAACCGCGAACTTTTATACAGAAAATAAATAACTAAATCCAATTTTAGCAAATTGCATAACCTTACCGATACCATGGGAACTGCAAAAAAAAAAGTCATAATGATAAGCATAACGATAACGATAAATTTCAATAAACTTAACTTTTATATAATACCAAAAACCGATACATCTTATGAACTACATATCGATATGATTTATAAAATTAAATTTTAACGTTAAAGCCTTGAGTTATTCTTCCAAGTTAATAAAATTTAAGTTGAAATGAATTTTATTGTGTTACATAAATTGGAAAATCATATCCGAAGCAATATGACGTTGTTGCTACGTAAATTTTTATTCTATGTATAATATATAATAACCAGGTCTTAACCAGATCTTCAATTGTGGGGAACAGGCCGGCCCGCGGGCCGGCCGTTCCCCACCCTATGTGGATGAATTAAGAGTACGTAATATGAATACGCAATAGGTCCAAAAACTAAGACGGTCTAACCTTTTTCTAGCTTTGTTAGGTTTGTTAGTTTTGTTAAAAGTTCAGTCCTTAAATCTTAAACTGGTTATAGACAGCGGTAACTATTAAATCAGACACATTACTGTAGTAATGGTCAAACATAGGATTATGATTTACAACTAATAAAGAACAATGTTCCGTTGATAAGTAATAAAAATATCCTGATCCGTTGGGGGTATTTTTAATGGTTCTCTTATGCATTGAACCTTTTGATTAACTTGGTTGACTAATGATCATGGTTAGATCGGTATAAATGGCCAAATCACTAGACACTTGGCATGCCAGTGGTCAAAATTCATGTCATTATACTCAATTTGGATTAGACAGTTTTCATGTGTTCTCAGCACATTTTATTTTCTACACAGAACGTTTCGGAATAACCTATTCAATTATAAATTAACTCTTTCTATATAAGTGGACTTTCTGAAATAGATTAGTGGATTCAGCATATCGGCCCACATTCAGGCCGGAATTGATAGATTTTTTTCTAAATCACCCAAAATTTTACTAATAAAGTGGCAGCCCATGCACTAAGTAAAGTTGCCTAAATGATAATTTTGCTATAATATAGTTGGCTGATATTATTGCTTAATGCCACCTTGCTCCGGCCTATTCCTAACCCCAAATTCGGGAATTTTGGTGGATCTATTAATCTACCTTTGCAATCACATAAATATTCATATGAGTACCACCAAGTGAAAATCAGAAAGTCTAAAATAGAATTCTAGAATTCTTTATATAGCAGAATGTGGACAATCGATTGTGTCATTTTTGATCACGTATTAGTATCATTTAAAGCCCTATTCTGTTTTCTAAAGACTTTATTTTTAATTTCTTGGCTTTCACTTGGCAACACTCATATAATTATACTTGCTGGCAAAATTATTAAGATTTGGGACTGGGATTTTTTATGATTGTAATGGGGATTTGGAACAATTTTACTATGTTTAGGATTTGAGATATTAATGGAATTTTGAGAATTTTAAGTTTGTGTGATCCATAATATGAACACATGGAATATTCGATCACTGATACGTAAGAACTGACAAACCTTGAACCATGATTATATAAACATCTGATCAAATCAGTCATTTTATAAAGATGAAAGAATGGTGTGATGAAATGAATCGCTTTAATTTGATCCTTGATTGAAATAAAACAGATATAAAGACTTCTTAAAGATTTATGTTATTTCTTGTTATACTATTACGCGAAAATACAAAATACATCATATATAAACACAATTAAAGTCATTGAAACGAGTACAATTTCTCAGCCATAAAAAAAAAAAATGCATTATTCTTTAATATTTATATTCGCAATACTCTTTGTCACAATCACACTCTATGCTAATGATATAGGAAATGGAGACCCAATGGATCCCGAAAAAATCAAGGCAAAGTTAACATTACTTCATAAAGATTTCTCGACAAAATCTCAAACCCTAGACATTCATGTTCCTTGGTCACGAAATGAAATTTTTTGTATAAATGTAACCACACCGTCACCTAAGATAGTTCTATTTCCTTATTATAATGTTTATATTCGTTGGAAAAAAGTACCAGAATGTAATATAAATACACCCTTAACGAACTTTCAAATAACTTTATATAATAATCCAAAAATTTCAGGAAGTTTTGAAAAAGTCAAGCATGATTGGTCAAACAAAATCGCATCGGATGTAACAGAAGATTATTACTTATGGAATGTTCCATTACTTTACCGAGATCTAGTAAAGAATTTCTCGATATTTTACATTAGAATTGAATCAGAAACTATTGTTAATAGTGGAATGTATATAGCGTTTGGAATGACAGGACCATTTACAATTTTACAAAATCCTGATAAAGAAAATAAAACCTTATTTGCAGAAGTTAATGGTACGGATCCGAAAGTTGTGGCGCCTACAGTTATTAGTGAACAAGTCAAATCTGCAGGGAAAAGCATTAACGTAAATCCGATGTTGATTTATTCTGAAATGGGAAACGCGATTATTAATTTGACATTGTTGTTATCTTCTATAATGATGATCTTTATTCTGTTCACGTAAAATTAATTTGGCATGTAGAAATATGTTTTAAGCAATAGCATTATCTTGATTAAGACTCAAAGTGAAATAGCAAGGCAGTAAGTAATATTATAATCCATAGATATACTGTATTGTGGTCATTTTATCGTATTTATAAGATTAAAAATTTGAACACATCGTGTTCAGGATAATATCGTATTTATAAGATTAAAATTTTGAACACATCGTGTTCAAGATAATATCGTATTTATAAGATTAAAATTTTGAACACATCGTGTTCAGGATAATATCGTATTTATAAGATTAAAAATTTGAACACATCGTGTTCAGGATAATATCGTATTTATAAGATTAAAATTTGAACACATCGTGTTCAGGATAATATCGTATTTATAAGATTAAAATTTTGAACACATCGTGTTCAGGATAATATCGTATTATAAGATTAAATTTTGAACACATCGTGTTCAGGATAATATCGTATTTATAAGATTAAAATTTAGAACACATCGTGTTCAGGATAATATCGTATTTATAAGATTAAAATTTTGAACACATCGTGTTCAGGATAATATCGATCGATATGGAGACAAAATTTGTTGTCACGTGAGTGACAGTTATGTGTACAATAAGTTGTAATAAATATGCATTCGACATTAGTAATTAAGGGTAATATGCAATAATAATTAAGTAATGCGGGAGAATTAATTAGCATACGTATAATAACGATTATGTAGCAATAGCGAGTAATGCAAATGTATAAATAAAATGTGAACGAAAAGGTTTCACGCAAGTTCTATTCTATATATTATTTTAATAAGTAAATCAACAAGCAAGTGTCCGATCATTATCTAAGTGCCACTGAGCCAGAATTTCGGTACTGTTTAAGTGATATCGATTAACCCCCAGTGGCATTTATTCACAAAATTCGCAAAATAAAATTTCAAATATTTAACAAAAAAAAACTTTATTTAATAATTTTGCAAAAAAAAGTTGAACAAAAAAAGAAGAGGAAAAAAAAAAAAACCAAATAAAAAGCAATATCTTTTTTCAGCAAAAATCATACATTTTGATAATATACGTGATAAGACGCGTAACCAGCAAATATCTATTGAATTTTGCCTGGATTTTTTGGTCTAAATTCGTCACGATGATTCTAAATTATTTTATTGGTCAAATATAGCAAATATTAGTAACGATACCATTGGAATGTCTATATATAAAAGAAATAATAATAATAATAATAACCTTAAAGTATGAAATAACAGGAACGGGTTCATGTTCGGTGATTTTTTGGACATCTCCGGAAATATAATTTGCTTTTCCGCTTTTAATGTAATCGAACATGTCACATCTAATATTAAAAAAAAAAATAGAGGTAAACAATCATAAGTCGTTATGAAAGGAAATCAATTAAGATACTTACAGAATCAAGATTTCAGTTTGGTTAGGACATGGCGGATTAGGGAACAAGTCTTCGCGGCCTTCTTGATCGCCAAGTTTGGTAAGTCCGATCATTTTTTCATCTTTACATGATTTCAAATATTCTTCACACTCTTTGCGTTTAATTTCCGTAAATTCAACGTTTGCGTCGGTGACTATATTCATCATAGCCATGAGAGTGCTAGCGGAGATAGATTCCGGACCGGTAAGAGTATAATGTCTTTTGTGATGATTTTTATCCATTTCATTACGAAGTTGATCATGTTCGTCATAAATGATGCAGTGGATTGTGCAATAAACATCGTTAAGATGAATTGGTGCCATGCGACTGTCGCGCCTAATTGGAAGGGCAAGTTGATTTTTCTCGACGATGCGTTTAGAAAAATGGTGCAGACACTGCACGAATAACGCAGATCTGAAAAAAACACGTATTTTGAAATTAAAATGATAATAATAATATATAATGAAAAAAAAGAAGGCTATCTACCTGAGGATACAGTGGCGATCAACAGCAGCTTCGGCTTTTTTTTCCATATCCCTGAATTCGCGAAGACATTTTTCATCGGCATCATCAGCACCAAGTATTGAACAAAAGAGCAAGTTGCTTACACGAGCTTTTTTAGCAGCCTTAACAAGGAGGATATTTGTCATTATGAGATTAATAAATAAAATTAATTAATAAAAAAAAGGTACGTACATCAGCAAAAGTTTTAGCCATGTGAAGAAGGTCGTTATCCGACTCGGGAATCCAAATTACCCATAGAGAATCGGTTAAAGCATGTTCAATTGTCTCGGTTTTACTATAATCAATTTGAACAACCTCAGCACCGAGTTTTTTAAATTCATCCATATTAGAGGTATCACGTGCGAGAACGCGTACATGATACTTGTGACCTCTCTTCTTTCTTTCATGAAGCAAGCAGTGAGCAATTCCATTTCCCAAATAGCGGTCACAGGAAGTAATGCAAATAACATGTTTGTTTTGAGACGACATATTGCTAAAAGGGTTTTTAAAAATGTTCTTAATAATGTTTTTAATTATGAAGAAAATTTGAGATAAGAAATGATGAAGGGACGAAGGCAAAAGATGCGGCTATTTAAAGAAAATTTTACAATATAAAATTTTAACTACTGTTCTTTAATCTTGTAGCAGTTACTTTTTCCAAAAAAAAAAAAAAATTAAAATGATAAAAAAGCCAGTTCTTTCATTAATCAACTTTTGATTGATTCATTAAGGACGTGGGTATAGATCGTCTTTCAAATATTTACGTTAACCTCACATTTATTGATTTATTTTAGTTAAATAAACGAAGCAAAACTTTAACAAGCTATCTAATGAAAATAGGCAGCATCAATTCCCACACCCAATGTCAACTCCCACACCATCAAATATCGACTTCCTTTTTGATAACAATGAATCCCGCTTTTTAAGGAACATTATGTCACAGAATCGAATGATTTTGATGACATTCGAGTTAAATTTACTAAAAATCATTTACGAGGTATTTTCTTATATAGAGCAAGGTTCCAATTATAATATCTCGGGAACTCAGTAATTAGAATCGAATGATTTTCCAGTCTGTTTTGTGATATAGAGTAAAATCGTTAGACTCGGATTGCTGGGTAATGATAAGATATCTTCATTTAGGTAAGCCAATTTTCCTATTTAAATTTACAACGGGTTCTCAAGTCTACGTAAATCTAAATTTGGTGATATTCCGTGATATTTATGCAGCATAATACCTTTCTTTCGTGTTTAAATAAAGATATCTTACGATTCAGCTATCAGAATCGAATGATCTTAGTAGCATTAGATTAGCCTATGACTGTATGATCAAAAAAGATATACCTTTCTTACACAAATGGAAAATTTTATCAAAATATAGTAATCCCCATCCCAGAATTTTCACAATTGAAGGAGGATTAATCAATTACTCTTAAAATCTAAACGTGTCCGAGGCACGTTAAATATATTTTCATTTCTAGTAAGATTCAACTTATTTCACTACTTTTTACAAATGCATATACTATGTTTGGAATTTGAAGATGTATAGTGTGTGAAAAAATAAAAGAACAATGCGTGGGAATTGTAGCTAGATAATACTAAGTTCTAATATTGACTTATGACTTAAAGAACAGAATCACCTTAATCATCTTAATTGCATTTTACCGTATTTAACTTTAACGTATGTACGTATTATCTTTTAAAAATAGAATTCACTGATTGGTCGATGGGACATTATAGATTGCAATTGATATTTTTTAAAACAATCACACGAAGTAAAATAAATAATGTAATAATATAATGATAAAAAGAAGTGTAACGGGTACCTACAAAATTCCATAGAAAATTGTTTCCCATGGTTCGTGTAATTCCCTGCATAGCTTTCATCCTAATGTAGTTACGCTATTTCTGTATTGTGGGAAAAAGCACCATAAAAAACATCATCATAGACACTTATCTTATCGAATATTAATCAAAAAAGATTATCTTTATTGTAAAATATGCAGGTGCTAGGCACGGTGCCGTTAAAACATAGTGCCCGAGCCGCTGGGCACTATGATTTAACAGCATCATGCAGAACCCTAATTTTAACTATATCAGATTGGACATAGCCACCGACAATTCATATCTCCGACACTTGGTACATAGATTTTCAGGGAACAGACGATTTCCAACCTTGAGACTTAGAAATTTATCTGATAACGAATTTCTCAAATAATTGTCGATGTTAATTATTGGACCTATTTTGATATGAAATTTTAAAATTTTTTGGGTGTTTTTTTCACCCCTTTTTTAGGGTTAGATTAGGATTTTGGACTAGAATTTATAATTAAAGTGTATATGTGGATTTTAGCAGGGCTTATATTTTCAAATCGAGAGCATCAGCCGCGACAATTATTGTTTTAAAAAGTCATTGAACCGAGTATTAAAAAAATCAAAGGTTATAGTAGCCATTGACTCAATTATTCTTCACTTGATTATGCAATCGACCTTAAATGACACTTTATCTTGCAGTACATTATTTTGATTAATACCGGTAGCTTGTCAACAAGATTAAAAATTGGTATTACTGTGAGGAGTCTTCAAGAATCTCATTCAAAATTTAAAATAAAATATGATCTATTATACGTCGTTTTCATTTAAATGAATTTGTTTACAATTTCATCAATTATCTTTAACATGATAATGAAAAATTACACTACTTAATAAAATTAGCTATTTTGATTGAAACTGATTAAGATCCATGGAACCATGAAATTTACCAATCAATGCGATTCTATGTTTTCTTGGAAGTCTTGGACGCGTGCGCGAGTTACCAATTTTAAGTGGTTGTTCATAATGATGATGATTTTCTCAATTTTGATTAGTTGATCAGAAAATAAACTATATACCATGAGCGTGAATTTGAAGACAAGCTAAAAATGTAATCATTCGGATCTTTCCGACATTTTTTTTCCCGCTAATCAGATCGTTTATAGGGTATATTGATTGATGTATAATATCGATTATATAAAGAAGGAATCATAGTTACTATAGTCGTTGAAATAATAGTTATCTGATGAATGCAAATTGTCATCGAGGTATAAGAATCTAATTATTTATTGAATGAATATATCTTCAAAGTAATTATTGAATGCAAGACATAATCATTGAAACGTAATCATCAAATGGATAGTTCGGCGGATTCTAGTAAGCACCAAGTAAAAATCAAGCATAAATAAGCTATCAAATATGTATAGCATTAATGCATGTAAACGAATAAATGCAAAATACAGCCCTTAAATATAATTACAGAATTACGTATTGAATAAATGCAACACATAGATCGGTCTGTACAACAGGTCTCTCGAATTATGCTTAATCATACGCACGTACTGTGTTACATCAGATCTGGTTTAGATCCACTTCAAACATTGAGTAAATAGAGGTAGAAGTGTGACTTCAGTACATAACGCCTGTAGTTCTCCCACAAAAAAAGAAAATCTTTAAAATATGCCCGGGGTAGAGGTTACTATCCTGTTTCTCAATTTTAGTTAGGTTAGGATTAGATTTCTTTAACACGTAATAGCGATTTTAAATTTATTTATTTTTGGTTATAGGTTAAGGATGCACCACAAATCCCCCGACTATCGCATATGCTAATACGTATCATACATACAAATTTGAGTTTTTAATTGTCATATACAAATACATGATTTTTTTTATCATCATATACAAATACATAATTTTATACGGTACCATATCAATACACATGATTTTATTACTGTAGTATAATCGGATATTTTTTACTCAGATTCGCGATGCATCTCCCGATGCACTTCAAATGCACCCCCGACAATAAAAATAATAAAATTATTGTAAAATCTCTGCGGAATTACGTTCTTGACGAAATTCAAACAAAAAATATTAATTTCGCTTAATTTCAATACATTTTTGTGAAGTGACCACTTATTTAACAAATTAGCTTCGAAATTTCAACATCCATATACTGTAAACACTAATTGAATTTCGGTGAGGTACATTGTACTGTACATTATTGTTGAAAGTATTAAAGTCTCTTTTGCGAGTATTAAAAATCTTACACAACTTCTTGTATTGGTTAAAATCTCTCAAGTCAGCAATACTAGTTAAAATCTTAAATAAAATAAATTTTGAATAGTATTTCTTATAATATGTGACATTCAATAAATATCTTTGAAACTACACAACTTATTTCAGAGAGAACACTCTTTCTCTTTTTTGTTATACGAGTTGTTTCGGAAAGAACTCTCCTTTTTGTGGGTGTACGTGCCGTTCTTGGTAATCCGTTATTTGATGGTTTCCTTGAAGATGATCCAACATCATCAATAATTTTCAGTAGTGATGCTTGATTAGGAGCTCCAGGAGATTTGATAATCTTGTATACTTCTTCTATAATATACTATATGAGTAACACAACCAATAATTAGTTTAATGTTATAAAGTTAGTTATAGTATTTAACAAAAATAAATGCCCTAGTTTGTAAAACCGCAGTTAGTAAACTCAATGTCTCAGAAATTCCATCCTGGTCTAATCCAGTTCCAACATTATGCAACTCCCGACGAATAAGGCGACAAATATACCCATTAGCACAGTCCATTTCAAGTGTCTGTGCATACAAGCCTTTAATTAAAAAAATTTTTGTAACGAAATTATTATGATTAACGCTTATTGTTTTCAACATAAACAAAATAACACTTACCAAAATGCAGCCATCCAATAGTTCGCAGTTTTTTGGCTCTTTCATCGTTGTTTACTGCGTTTATTAATTTGACGAGCATGTCACGCATAACTTTAGGGGTTTTGAATGATTCTTCCAGCCATTTTGTGGAATTTGCTTCAAACTTTTTCGCGGTCTCAACCAACCCGAATTCATATTGTCCGGCGTATTCACGAATTGTACCATCATTTCTACGGCCCATTTCTTTTCTCATGCCCAAAGTTCGATTCATGTTTTTCCTCTCTGAGCTTGCAATCGAACTAGATTCTCCCCTAAATAAAATGCAGTTTATCAATTATGATTATCAATGTGACCGAAGTACAAATCATGACAATAACTTACCGAACACATGTGACAACCTCCAGCTGCTCAAAACAGCGATCAAAAATAACTGACCAAATATTGATGTTATACCAATTTTCTAACATATTATTTTTAAGAGGTGAAGTATTTCTTTCATAGAGTGTACACCTATTATGATAAATTTTAATCAAAAATTCAATTTATATATTCAATTTTTGTCACCTCTGGACACTTTTGCTAACTTACAATCGTTCATAAACTACATGAATATACTGAAAATCTCCATGTTCAATAGGATTATACTCATCCGGATTGATCCAAGATTGTAATACTTTTGTTCGAAGTGCTTGCAAATTATCATTCTTGATCATAAGATTATAATAAATTAGGACATAATATACTATATTTTATACATTATTAATCCTAAATAAGACTAATAAATAAATACTTCAGCGTATAAAACCATGTGTTGTGCAAGTTCTTCTGGAATTTTTGGAACTTCTTGTAAATTTTGGGTCATTATTTCATGCCATTCATCTGTCGTGAACAATTGTTGCAGTCGCACATCCTCCAAGTCAAGGATCCAACTATGTATAAGGCTGTGAAGAACACAAGTAAGAAACTTCGTAGTATAAAAAGAAAAAAAAAATGTCAGGAATACCTTTCTTCACCTAGGTTTATACCATATTCATAAATTGTGTCCTCGACGATTTTCCCAGTTGTTAATTGCCATTTTTTGTTAAGGTCCATTTTATTAAAAGATTCTTCGTATAGCGTAAGATAATCTGTTTCGGCACTGTCCGATAATGTTAAACGTTGATGTTTCGGTAACTAGAAAAAGAAACAAGAGATCAGTAGTATACTTTAAGGAAGGCGCTTAGTTGGTTCCTTTTCTAGAACTAACAATCCTTAAAAAAAACCACCAAATTATATCATATGACTAAAGCGATTGTAGACGCTCTTCTTCCCCACACCAGCAGAGCAGGGTGTAGCATAATTATTTTTCTCAGTAAAATATGCACGTCTTGATGGTGATAGCCGATATTTAATAGAAGAACAAAAATTGACAACATTGAACTATAATAAGGCTAAGACGATTGTAGATGCTTTTTTTCCTCACATCAGCAGAGCAGGATGTAGCATAAATTATTTTTCTCAACAAAATATGCATGTCTTGATGGTGATAGCCGATATTTGATAGAAGAACAAAGTATTGACAACATTGAACTATAATATAGCTAAGACGATTGTAGACGCTCTTCTTCCCTACGCCAGCAGAGCAGGGTGTAGCATGATTTTCTCAGAGAAATATGCACGTCTTGATGGCGATAGCCGACATTAAGTAAAACAGATACTAACGTTTAGTTCTTTCTGAATTGATATTGCTTTTTTCCACTCTCTGGTCCTTTTGTCTACATGTTGAATAATTATATCTAATTCAGCGAGTAATGAAATGTGAGAAGCTTGAACCGTTTCCGTCGGATTCTTTTTAAGAAAGTATTTGTCCCATTTCGCTAATCCACCCCAATCACTAACTGGGTTTTCCCAAAAGCCACTGCAACGAAGCATTGACAAAATTTCCTTTGGTATCTTTGATATATATTTTGTTGTTGGCATGGGAGTTATAAAGTTATATACTATAAGTTTTAGAACAACAAGTTCTATTTATAAGTGACTGTTTACATGCGTTTTACCCGATTTTTTGAAGGTTACACATGATCTAACCAACATTTCATTGGCCAAAAACAAACCGCAAATCGTTCAATGGCAGTTTGTTTTGTTTTCACGTTACACCGGATCCTGTGTCGTGATTGGTTTAAAATCACATGTCCACAGATATTTTATACGAAAAGTTCTATCTAGCTAGTTCTAAGGAAAATAAATAAGTTAATTTGTTAATTTATCTAATACATACTGTAGTTTATTGAGTCGATTCATTTAAAAATCTTATGAAATATAAATTAAATTATAGTAAGCTCACAATATATGAAAATAACTCAAAAATATAGATAAATTAGAAAAATTGGCAGTGACATGATCTACAAGGCATTCAGATAATATTCCTATATTCAAGATCTTTTGCTATACCTAAAACTTACAATGCAGACTAAATTACAAGTACAGTCAACCCTCTATATAATCACCTAGTTGGGAGCATAGAAACTTTTTTAAAAATATGCTTATAAAGAGATTGTGCTTATATAGAGGTTTTTCTATATATTTATAGTAGTTTATTTAAAAAAATTAAGTGCTTATATAGAGGTGTGATTATAAAAATGTGACTATATAGAGGTCTGACTGTACTTAAAGATATTTCAGAGTTGGATAGTATTCACAAATTTGCAGAATACATTCATGCTGATTTACACGTTAGTAGCATTTTGCAAGACCAATGCGCTAATGAAAATGCACAATTTTATATCACAGATCTAAGGTTATCTGATAAGTGCATTTCAGAAGGAGATATTTTCGACGTCATGACTTATTTTGCTTCTAGAACTAATGATATCTAACAGAATAATTTATTTCGTCAAGTTTTATCAATTTTATCAGGCATCATTCTTGGAACTCCTGAATGTCGAGTTTGCAGAGATAGGAATAGCCTAGTGCTTGGATATTTATAAAAAAAAATTATTGCTTAAAAATTTAGCTTAGATAATGGAAACGAAATCAAAAAACAGTTTTTAAAACGTTATTAATAATTCCCAAGATCATCCCGATCGTATGAACACTAGCAAAAATAGTAATTGTTCATGAACTTGAATAAATATTTAATAAACATTCTTTATATTCGTCAACTAAATGTTCTTTTATACTCATATAAATTAATACAACTAACAAAATATATAATTAATATTTATGAAATGAAGTAACATATTTTAAGAATTATTATTTATACTTACGGACTTAAAAAATGAAAAAGATATGTAAATAAATTCTTTGCTTGTGTCTTTGATGACCAGTGATTATCAGAATTCTCTGAATTATTACCAAAAATATCAATTTTTTGACTCTAAAAAAAAATTAATAATTTTGATAATCAATCAGAGAATTTTCATTTTTCAAACTGAATTTTCTTAGACCAGCTCCCAAATAATTGCACCAAAGGACTTCAACGTAAAACTTAATAATTATAAATATATGATTGGATTAATTCCATCTGGTAAACTAAATTATATAGAAAAAATTGGCGAAAGAAGATTTGACTCTGTAATTCTGCGACCTAACAGGATGATGTATAAAAAATTAATAGTTATTGGGCAATTAGCATGAACCAAACAAATACTTGATGGTATTTCAATATGCTGATAATGATGTCTTCATAATTTAAGAATGAAATTTCGAGAGCTTACCTAGCGAATTAAATTAAAACTACTTGACAATATTTCAAAAGATTTGAGACTTTCAATGTTAACATTTGGAAGAATAAAGGCATTAGCAAAAGTCTGCGATCTTACGTCTCAAATATAGGATTGTCTAAAAGGACAGATAAAAAAATGATTCAGAAGGTGTGTTTATGGTGTCTTTTCTTATGTTGTACCAGAAATTCTATTGGGATAAAAGTTTACATCAACTACCAATATTTATGGTTTCAGAGTCATTATATAGAAAGTGCCAACTGGAGAATATCTTTCGATAGTTATCTTTGATGATAAACTTGAAATAAAGATTTGCATCGAATTATGGCCTGAATTTGCTTCTGGAACTCCGATTATTATATTAATTTGCATGGATTCTGATTTACAAAATGGTCTAATGCTTAAAACATTTGGAATAAACTTTACGATTGGTTGAAGTTTCAAATAACGCAAATACAATTAAAAAGCAATTCTTAGATGTTGATAAAATAATGTGCAATTAAATATTATTTTATTTGTATTTGTTAGCAAAGATGCTTTAAAAGCTTGTAATATTCCGTCTAATCAAGCTGTTTCGTGTTGAAATCTTTGGTTTGATTGGCTAATCACTTAATGAGATCATATGGTATTAAAAATCAATTGGTTGCAACTATAATTGTCAACTAATTGATTGGCAAAATTTTTACCAACTCGGAACACTACCGGGAATAATGATAATAGCTGTAAAGATATTTCTTGTACGAAATAGAACTTATAATCACTAATTCATTAAGTTGGAAAAATGATAATTGGGATTTTGTAGTTGATCTGTGGGTTGACCTACGGGTCAACCCGTAGATCAACCATGGGTCAACCCGCGAGTTGACCTCATGGTCAGACATTCGTTTGATTGGCTAATGTAAATCAATTGCCCGGGTAACTTATTTATACACTTTAAAGTACTT